TAGGACGAGCAATGCTCTGGATAAAATATCTAAAATGCTCAATTTTAGGCCTAGAGATCACAAAAAGCACACATTCTTAACACAATTTGGCGTTATCAATTGACATTGAGTAAAAGGCTTTCACATGGATCTGCAACTGGACTCATAGACGGTAAACAACAAGCATTGATAAATATCCAAAAAATCATAAAAGATGCTTCGCAATCTTCTCAAAACTATTAAATTAAATTGATGTCATAGAAATGGAACCTCCGAGAAATACATTGGGTTTTAGCACTGCGAGATATTGTTTTTCTTCTAAAAATAAATGTAACTGCAAAGCCCTATATTGTTCCAGTTAAAAGGAACGAAATTGAAAGTTAAAATTATTATACTGTGGATTTAGTCGACGACTAGTGTGTATCTTCGTGAATTTCGACGTAGTCCGCTATAACACTCAAATCAGGACAGTGAACGAGCGTGGTTTCATAGGCTCTCACTAGCCGATCGAACACAAAGGCCGCACAAAGATTAGGCAGCTTTATGGTGGAGGCACGACTGTTAACCTAAAACGCGTCTTTCCCGATGCTTTCTGTCATCTTGCAGGCAATGTTTGTAACTAAAAATATCGTTCCTGCCAACTTTTATCATTTCTTGACTATCAGCACCTGGTTTTAAGAAGAAGGAAACTAGGCCGCTGTTGCCATGCTGCTGGATACCTATCAAGATTGGCGGCCACCGCAGCCATAACAATGGGTTGAACATGGTGTGATAATTTCCTGAATTCCCGCAGCTAGGTCGTTGACTGTTGTAACCTCATTACGTGTTGGTTATTAGTATGATTTTTACACGGCCATGTGACTTACCGCCAATGACACTGAAACTAATGCTCGTCCACCACTCTGCTCAAGCAACGTCTCAGCACACAATGTGGAGGGAGAAAGTCATCACGCTATTTACTTTATAGGTGGTCGAAGATCTATGATTGAAGTAGCTAGTAACCCACGCAGTTGTTATCTCTCGCAAGAACTTTGACCCCCTAAACTTTAATGTCTCTCGGGGTTGTAAACCTCCTATTTACGTGAGAAGCTGACAACTCGAGTAAAAACACAATTTCAGCTATAAACATAAGCTTAGGTTTTGCCAACATTTTATCGCAAATGCCAGCATGTATTTAAGAACCATCTACCCCCTTGAGTCTAACTATGAAGGATTAGTTTAGTATGTGAACTTCCGCTTTATCACAAATCAAATCGCCCAGCAGCATCAGACAGCAAAAGAAATTAATAAGAGTCCTGTTTCACATTTTTGCTCCAACGCTTATTGCGAATATTTTTAAGGTCATTTGTGTAGACAATTTGTACCTGCTTGGTGAGTCAAAAACATCCTATACAGTCTGTCTGCTACTGCGGGAAGATTGATAGAAAAGGTGTAAATCTGCATGAAACCTGATTGTGGTAGTGTTTTCTGTTGCCAATTGTACCCCAGATTTATCGATTGAATTAATAACTCCCAGGGAATGGCATGCATTTTTCAATTTAGAACTTTTAATGTACGCCATCGTTTGCGGAGTAACCCTCGTTTTGTAACAGAAATAAAGCTCGAGGTTTTTTGAAGGCTCAAATATTCATCCCAGGTAAAATGCACTTTCATGAATTTTGAAATTGTCCTTCATTTGGTGTGTCCTGCCACCCATGCAAGGTCGTTTAAAACATAGAGATAAAGTGCATGACCTATTTTTTACGAAACGTTTCGTTAAGATTTTTCCGCAAAGACAGGAGAGTAGAATATATTATTATTGTTGTTTAAAGTATATATAAGTGTCCAACAAAAGCAGCTCTATATAGGCATGAATGTACTTAATACAAAATGGCGGATTTGGAAAAGGGCAGCTGACTTTCAAGGAACTTCGTTTCAGCACCGGAAGACAAAAAACCATTACTTACGTTCCTTCTAGCACACTTCGCCGTTTTTAAAATCCTAACCACAAACAACAGGGCGAAGAAGAACCTATTGATTTCCTGCAAAGAATACATAGACCAAACTTTGACGCAACTTTCGTGGGAGTTTTTGCAAACTTATCATCAAATGAATTCCTGTCAGACAACGAGAATAAGATATGTAGACTTGCCCCGAAACCAAACCCGTCGTTTAACTTTCGAATAGGATAAAACTTCCAATAACCTGGTATTCAAAAAGACTGCCCTTGATTATTTAGGTTACTTCACTTTTTGCCAGTCTTCTTTGACTATTTTGTGGATTATCCGATTTATTAAATTATGTAAAAATGCATTCATCAAGGTTTGCTGACCCTGTTCAAGAAAGTTGAGAGTGGCAATATTCACTACCAAATTCGCAACCAATTTTCGCCCTTTTGATTTTCAGTGTTCCAATTATTGCGCTTGACTGCACAGACTACGTGATTTGCTTGTCATTGTTGGTATCCCACACACATTTCCTCTACTAAAGTCCACCAGAATAGCCTGTCTGTTTTCGCACCATGCCTTGACATGTTACATCTACAATAAACTGCACTCTTTACAAGTAACGCTTCTGTAAGTTAGACGTTTAGCAAAAGCCCATTGTGGTTCGGAGGCAAGTAATTATCCGTACTACATCCAAACAAGTTAAGAAAGTTGAGTCAATCTTTTCTACCAAAAAAACTGCTCTGTGAATATGTCACAACCTGAAATGCCATAAATGCTGTTCAAACATTTCTACTTTCTTTATCACTACGGTAATAAATATGAATCTGAAAGGAATTTGAAGCTCGCTAGGGTCTAAAGCAGTACTTCACAAAGTTCGAATTCCGCGAAAGTTGAAAATAACCCAAGTGATAACAAACAATCCTCACAAATAACTTGATAAAATGATTGATTTACTGTGGAAGTAAATTGAAAAATAAGGTACATGCACAAGTTCCTTGTTTTTAAGTGGCAATAATTAAAGGCTTAACAAGTCTAATTCTCAACTGGGAGGCACACAGAGTTTAACCGCAAGAGCATATAATGCAGCGGTGTGGGGATTCAGGTAAGTGTTTCCTATTTAAACCTTTCAGAGATTCAGATGAATGATAAGGAATAAACACACATAACGTGCTAACCAGCTGCTCAAAGTTAAAACTGTTACTATTTGACAGTGGTAGGCAAAGAAGAAGCTGCAAAGAAGAAGCTGAATTGATAAGTTGACGGAGGACTTTAAAATGCAGTTAGCTGCGCTCTTAATTGAGTGTCATGGGTAGCGTGTTTAAGGTGTTTCAAGACTAGGGGTACGT